ACACAAAATGAACAGGATAAAACAAGAGCATATACTGTACTTAACACATCTAAGCACATTTATCAAAACAGTAATTTGTAAAGTAAGAAAATAAATGTATCCAAACAATGTGTAAAGTTAAAAAAAAAGTGTCCTGCCCCGATCGTCCACTCCTTCCATGAGCCACGCCCCCTCGTTAACCTCGTGTGGAATCCCTGTGTGATCAGCTGTTTCTGGTTGTTCTCATTAGTCCTCTATTTCATCCGCGTTTCAGTTTGTTTCCCCAGTCCGGTTATTGTATTGTCCATCTGCATTTTGCCTGCCTTGCCTGCAATTAAACCCCGTATTCCCCGATACCCTGACATCTGTGCCTTTGTCTCCGTTCTGTCCCTGCTCGCCATGACAATATTATTATAATTAAATGTATTAATGGTTTATTATTAATGAAATTAAAATAATTAATAAGAACTCTTTATTTTTAAATGTATTTTATTATATAATAATTACTGTTACTGTCTATCATTGTCTAAATGCATTTTTGCTTTCTAAATATATTCATGTATTCATGTATTCATCTAGTGTAAACATGCACGATGCTATTACAGCGAATGCGAGGCTGAGACTGAAACATTACCCTTTGTTTCCGCTGAGAGATGTGCTGCATGACTCATTTCCCCGCACGAACAAGTTATCTTAGGTCGGCGTTCGCAGTTTGATTTCTGAGATTCAGATCGAGTTCTAGGTAATTTTTTTTCGAATTGGTTGGTTTGACTTTTAAGAAATTTCAGTTCTAATGAGTTCGAGAACTGAGGTACCACTGTATATCCGTTAAATCTCTCTAAAGGTCTGTAACACCAACATCAGGGCTTTAGTGCTCCCCATCCCCGGAGTACTGACCAGGGTTTCATGTTTGCTGGTTATGTTACCCTGTTGTGTGTTATAATTACCAGTTATCCCACACTGATTGTCCTGTCTTTTCCTATATTTGTCACTATCTTGCCCTTGTTCCTTGGTGTGCACTTGTCAACCTTAGTCCTGCTCCCGGTCTCCGGTCACAGTTCTTAGTTACTTGTTTAGTCCCTGGCAGTGCTTTTATTTGCAAACTCTGTGCCAAAGGTCATAAAGCCCACAGTGACATCATACACACAAATTAGTCTTTAACAACGATAATCCACTATTAATGGGGCATCTGTTGGTGAAAAAGGATTTACTGATCTTGACTTTGCCGACGATGCTGTGATCTTATGACGATGCTGTGAGTCAATGCTGGCTCTGATTGGGGCTCCCGAGAGACTGAGCGAGGAGTCTGAGTATCTGGGATTGTGGGTGTCCTGGATAAAGATCCAGGCATTTAATGACTTATTAGCACAGCCATCAGTAGTGTGTCTGTCTGCGGGGAGAATGTCGACCTTGTTGAGAGATTTACTTGCCTCGGCAGCAACAGTCATGTCTCTGGTGACTCTTCCTATGGAGTCAGCAGACGGTCACTGGAATGGGGTGTGTGGCACTCCCGATATCTTTGCAAGAGGACAAAGATCCAAGTCTTTAGAGTTCTGGTGCTCCCAGTCTTGCTGTATGGCTGTGAGTCATGGACGCTATCCAGTGAGCTGAAAATAAGACTGGACTCCTTTGGTATTGCATCTCTTCGGAGAATCCTTGGGTTTGACTTTCTGTCGAACGAGTGGTTGCTAGAGGAGTCCTGAATGAGATACACGACCTACATTTAGAGGAAACATCAGTTATGGCACTACAGCCATGTGGCGCATTTCCATGTAGGTGATCCTGCTTGCAGGATCCTCATTGCTGTAGACCAAAGCGGCTGGACGAGACTGAGGGGACGCCCACGTAACATCTGGCTGTGGCAGATGGATGGCCATATACAGCATGTGGGACTGGACTGTGTGTCTGCCTGGGGGGTCCTGAGGAGTTTCACCATATGGTGGGTGCATGCATCAGCACATGCTCCCTAACCTGACCTGACCTGACCTGTACCGTTAGGCACTTCTTATAAACATCAGCAGAGTGGGAAGAAGCATTTAGGTTATCAAGATCTATTTTGCGCTGTGTTAAAAACGCCATCTTCTTTCCCAATTTTCTCTCATAGTTTACGTATGGAATAATCTGCCCTCTAACGTAGGCCTTCAAGGTTTCCCACAGTATGGAAGCAGATACATCTCAAGATTTATTTAGTTAGAAAAGTATCAATTTGTGAAATAAAATCAACAGTCTCCATCAGAAAGCAACCTCCAAGGAGGCCATGTTCTAATAAAATTTTCAAAGTGGATTTTCAAGGAGATGGGAGCATGATCTGAGAGTACTATTGCATCATAGCGACATTCAGAAATTGACGTGAGAAGGAATCCGGTTTACAGGTATCCGGAAACAGTGAGAACAGGACTTTCATAAAAGTATCATCATCCCAATTAGGAGCATACATAGTACTGGCATACTGAACATTCAACTAGTAACTATTACAAATCTTCCCTTTGGATCAGAAACCACATCAGATTAAACAAAGGGAATAGGTTTGTGCAACAATATCACTACATTGCTCGCTCTACAAGAAGATAATACAATACAATAATAGCCCTGACCTGCCTATACATACCTCAGTTTACAGGAATCTAATGGTTTAAAATGGGTTTCTTGTTAGAAGACTATATGATCCCCTGAATGATGAAGGTATTGCAGTATTTTTGTCAGGGTCTGCACCCGTCTGTCCCAGTCTTTCATGTCTCCTCCCCATTTGGCCAGCAGATGTCGCTGTCTGTCGTGTGTTCAAATCATGCTTCCTCTGTTTTTGTATTTTGTTTCCCTAGTGTTTCAATTGTACCTCTATTTCCTGTGTTTCATGACTTATATTCTGTTTTGGTTTTTTGTTTTCCCTTGGTTTTCTTTTACCTGCCTTCGTTATTTTGCCAGTGTTTAGATTCTTATTTCTTGGTCAGTTTCTCTGTTTCCCTGTTAGTTTCTGAGTTCTTTGATTTAATTATTCATTTCACCTGTTGCCCATTTTGCCAGCCCTTGTTAACTGTTCACACCTGTCCTGCGTTATTCTTGTTAGCCCTCTGTATTTAAGTTCCTGATCTTGCTCTGTTTCTTGTGGAGTCATTGTTGTTACTGATGTTCTTGTTGACTGTGTTTGATAATTGATTCTGTGCCTGTTCCTTGGTGTAACCAGTTCCATTGTAGATCATTTTTGTTTTGTTAGTTTGGTAGGATTATTAAAGATTCATTCTCCCAATAGCCGGACACAGTGGATCGCCGTCTCTGGGTTTTGCTTGCACAGAGTTTGTGGAACAGAGCCCTTTTCTTCCTGACTTTTTCTTCATTTCAGTAGTAAACCACCTTGTTGCAGTTTCCTAGATTCAGTTTAGCTGGAAACAGCTATTAAGTCCTCTTGCGCTTGCAATAATGTGCTTTTGAAAAATTCCCATGCCTCTTCACAATTTTGTTACTTAACTCCATCCAGTTTACAGTTTCTAGTTTGTCTCATACCATTAAAGTTAGTCTTCCTAACAGTCTTTTCCGGCTCTAAAGCTTAAAACACCTGAAAGTGGTTTGACACAGTAATTTCTGGTGATGCTGTCTCTGTAAAGTGTGTATGCCCTTTCTTCCATCTATCACCTACAGTCATCCAGCTCTCTTGACCACTCTATTCTTCATTCTCCCCCCTCCCTGTTTGTGGCATACACACTATTTCCCTAAAAGGCATATTAACTTTTCTAACTCTGTGTTGTGTCAGATGAGCACCAGTTGCTCCTCAAGGTCACAAACCTTGACCATAACCACCGACTGACATCGCTTGCAGATGAAGTATGACTGGACGCAAGCATCCAGAAGGGCAAACATCTTTTCACACTCATCATGTCCCCCAAATGCCAGCTCCTGACAACCCAAGAATTAAATCACATTAATCAGCCTTTTCATAATCTCATGGCTTTTTCTCGCCATGCCATTGTGTTTGTGTCTGGCTAACAAGAGATACATGCCTACGGTGATCAAACTATCAATTCCCACTAAGGTCGCCTCTTTCAATTTTAAGAAGTATAAGAGGCTACACCCATCTCTCTGGGTCCATGAATTTGCTGGGTGTTGGTGAGTTGATCTTGTAGCCTGAAACCATGAGAAAATTGTGTCCCATATTGGTTCAAAACCATACATAGCATTTTAATTTTCAATATGGAGTGATTGGATATGTGGGACAGGTTTTAAGATTACTTAAAAATACTGCATGTACCCTTACCTGTGTTGTATGTGTAATCCTGATGTGCTCTAGTGTTGTGTAAGGACCTACCATGTAAGCCTTCTTGTCTAGTGTCTAACCTCCTCGCGTTTGCCTGCCTTGGCCTCTCTGTTATTGTTGCTTGTTGTGTGGTCCTTCAAAGGACTAACATAAAGAGCAACTTCGTATCAATCTGCCTCTTCTCATCTTCATTCACTGCTGCTGCGATGCCTTGGTCTGCCCGGCACTACAATATTATTTATTTCTTATCTCTGATCTTATTTCTTATCTCATTTCTTATTTAAAATGCATATAATTACATTATCATCACTGGAATCACTATTTTTGTTTAATTAATTTTTTTGGTGTAAGTTATCAGGTTTTGAGTTGCATTCCCCTAAACCTTTTTCCCCATTGGATATGTGTATTTAAGTACATGATTTTAATTAATGCAAGGGTTTTCAGGAACACATTGGTTGCTTTGTAGCGGGACTGAATTGCTGCATGTAATTTCTACAGAATGCAAAATACAGTTTTAGTTTTCCCCAGTAATTAAATCATTATTTCGTTTAATTGCCGAATTGCTTATCAGAACTCTGGGTCAGGCCATAACAAATTGCAATTTATTCCACTGGCAAAAGGTATAAGTGCCCCTGGGAAAATGGTTTGACAGAAAGTTTGTGTTTATGTTCATTTTAATTCATGCAGCACTTTTTTTATTGAAGGATTCTCTGTTAGAAAATGAATCTGCCAAGTAAACAATTTTAGGCAAGCATGTATGTGCCTCTGAACTCACTGCGGTGCAGCCATTGTCGGTGTTGTCTTCCATAAAACATATTCTGCTAAGGACCTTCTCATTATGTAGCCAGTACTCTGTGGATTCCGGCAAATTATTGTTGCACAGCACCTGTGAAAAAGATAATAATACTGTCACACCCAGAACAGCTGCAAGACCAAGGTAATAATGAGCAAAATGATGTCTTACCTGTACTTCACACTTGCAATTGTCAGTGCTGTATTACACAGACTACATTTGCAACTACTTTAATACCAGATATAATAACCTTGTCATACTTGTGAAGTACAAGTAATTTTCCTGACTCAAATTATAAATATTGGCACCCATATCATTTCTTCTAGAAAATGCAGAAATACAAAATTATTTTAGTATTTATTTTAGTATTCACACATATTTTTTATTGGATTTGCAATGGAACAAACCATGCAGAAGAAAAAGTAAAGTGGAATAAATGCTTACAAATGCTTCACTGTGTATAAGAAATACTAATATGGCCTGAGAGTATTATTGGCACCTTGTAGAACAGAATCTTGTTTTCAATTCTCTCAGGTAACTGGTTTAATAATTAATGATTCTGATTGGCCACGGAGGCTTCACAGCCGGGTCACAGAAGGCTGGATAATCAGCAGTGCTTTGACCTTAAAGACCATGATTTGAATAGAAGCACTGTTCTAGAAGCACTTAAGTTTCAGCTGGTGGTTCTACTTTATGTGAGGACAGAACTCACCGTCGGTGACCTGGAGATGCCTGCAGTATATATTTCAGTCATTCAACCAGCGTGAATAGAGAGAAACACTTACTCTTCTGTTTTGTGCAATTGTGTGTATTACATTGAGCATAAAAAAGAATAAGGAAAAAACATAATTCTCTAAATGAGGTCAGACACAAGATTGTAGCCATGCATGGACAATCTTTGGTGTTCCGATTTCCACCAGACATAATGTTATCTGTTATCTGGAAGTTCCATGGTACTTCTTTGGATTTGCTCACAACAGAAAACTGCATCAAATGCAGCCAGGGACTGTTTGAATGGTGGAGAGAGTATATCAATCATCATCTATTGCAGACTCTTTGATACAGACTTATGTGGTCAGATACCCTGAGGTACCCCCTGACATGACATAGGCCTGAGAAAGAAATCAGCCAAAATACACCTGAACCTGCCAAAAGCCTTCTGGAAGGACGTCCTTTGGACTGATAAGGCTAAACTATAACTTTTTATCCATCCCTAAGACTGCAGAAAACAAAATGAAGCTTTCAAAGAGAAGGACACCTTCCGTACAGTAAAACAGGAGGTTCAGTAATGCCTTGGGGTTGCTTTGCTGCTTTTGTCACTAGGTGCCAAAATATTAATGATTTTTTTCAGCACCTCTGAAAATAGGTTTGTAAAACGTGTATTTTTAGAGTTGATTTAACCAAAAAATAGAAGAATGACATTCTAAATGGTCTCAGATTATTGGTGCTGAATAAAAGCAAGTGTAGCACTTTGGGAGAAATGTTTTCCAGAGAGGTGAAATATTTAAAACATGTCAAGGCGCATTACAGTATGAAGGTCATGGCTGTTTTAGCATGACGATAGCCTAAAATACACTTGAAAAATTAGTGAGGACTGTTTGAAGTGGCTTCCAATGAGACCAGTTCTAAATCCCATTGAAAGCTCAACAGTTTACAAAAAGAAGCCCAAAAAAAGAGCAGCTGGGAGAAGCCAGTGCAAGAACTAGGTAGGCAAGAAGGAGGGCTACAAGAATGATTCCCGGTCTTAGGGTTAGCTGAGCTGAATCTGTTTAGCCTCGAGCAAAGGGGACTAAGGGGGGACATGATCCAGGTATATAAGATTCTAACAGGTCTCGATGCTGATAATAGAACTCATGGCCATAAGTGGAAATTAGCAGGAGAACATTTTAAAATGAATTTGAGGAAGCACTTCTTTACACAGCGACAGCAAATATAGATAAATTCTAGGGTGTCAATATTTTTTTATGCATTTTATTCTTTTTCTGATTTAAAAGAATATACTGAAATCCAAATCAAAATTTATTTTCTGCATTATTAACAGAAATATACCATGCGACATGCTGTCACGATCCAACACGGAAGTAGGCAACGGAAACCGTGCATACGAGCAAAAGGGCCTTTATTGCTGGGGTAACACACTTCAAGACACGTAACGTTAATGATTGGACTGGGGAAACGAACGGAAACGCGGACTAAATACACTGGACTAATGACAAGAATCAGAAACAGCTGTAAAACACTGGGAATCCACATGAGGTTAACGAGGGGGGGCGTGGCACAGGAGGATCTGCACGATTGAGTTGTGACACATGCTATCATGTAATACATGAATTATCGAATATCTCAAAATTAATGAGTGGACCCTAGTGAAAATTGTACCAAATTTTCATTATTTATATACAAATAAGTGGTCAAAATTATAAAAAAAGCAAAAATCTTTCCATGTTATGGAAAGATATTGTAAAGTTCCCTGTTACAGAAATGAAAATGGCAGTTGGCTGAAGATGAACTTTATTTGGCTGTTGTTGGCCATAGACATGCTGTACACAATTTATATCGGAAAAGTAGTAGTAGAAAAGCACGTGACACTGCACCTTTTTTCCCCGGATTGTTCACACCCTTTACCACCAACCATTCTCTCTTCCTGCACCCCTCTTGCTCCTCCCACACCCTCTCGCCTGGATGGGTTCACTCCCACAACAGAAAATAACCCCCCAGCAATCATCCATAACACAATTCCTAAACTATAATAATAATAATTTTTTAAAAGTATACAGTTCTTCACTGTGCCAAGCTATTACGCAATCTGGTGTCATACTGTACCAATGCAATTTCATGAAGGTGCCTATTATCAAAAAAGGTAAATGCAACAATGTTTATATTAGGGTACATTATCATTTCTTTGATTGTGATACTCATCCAGTATTTTGATATCCAAATGGGAAAAAAGTATGAGCAAAGATTTAAAAAAAAGGCCTATAATATTCCTTCCTGATTGTAAGCAATGCAAGAGATTTGGTTGTGATGTTACGCAGAATCCCAGAATTCACAGCTAATATCAAAGCATTCAGCTCAGCTGTCTCCAGTGCATCGGTGGCAAATTACTCGCAGCTGCCATTAAATATCCTGCATAACATCATTATATTATACAGTTTTTTTTTGTCTTATTTTTTGTTATTGATGTGTACTGCAAATAATTTTACTTTATTTCAGATGGTGAACACTGTGTTCACCGCAGCATGCTGCAGTGTAGACATCCATCCATTTTCCAACCTGCTTATCCTACTGGGTTGTGGGGGGTCCGGAGCCTATCCTGGAAGCAATGGGCATGAGGCAGGGAACAACACTGGATGGGGGGCCAGCCCAACGCAGGGCACACTCACATACTGTTCACTCACACATGCACACCTATGGGCAATTTAGTAATTCCAATTAGCCTCAGCATGTCTTTGGACTGTGGGGGGAAACCGGAGTACCTGGAAGAAACCCCACGACGGCATGGGGAGACCATGCAAAATCCACACACATGTAACCCAGGCGGACACTTGAACCCAGGTCCCAGAGGCGTGAGGCAACAGTGCTAACCACCGCACCACCATGCCGCCATGCATGAGAGGTAAATTAAATATAGCCCCTCCCGGTCCATAACTTTTTCTGTAAGTTCTGAATGGGATTTAAATTTGAAAAAGATGCTGATTGCATCCTCATCTTAATATTGGTCAAAGCCCATGTGGTACCCTAGGTAAACTTCACTGTTCAATTTTACTTTGTCTTAGTGGATAGACCTGTTTGCTTTGTAGACAGCATGACCTAGAAGTCTAAGGCCCTGAATTTTGGCTCCAGACACCACAGAGGAGTAGATTATTTTTTAGGGGCAGCAAATGGTTCTCTGGATAAGTGTCTATGACCAAAACGTTGCCAGTCCAGATCCCATGGTGGGCAGGATAGTCGCATTACCATTAGGCCTTTAAGCAAGGCCCTTAAGCTAGAAAAATGCCCAGGGGGGTAGGATAAATGATTGACTCTTGAAATGAGTTTGAGCTTCATTCTCATCTGTATATTTATGTGCGTGTTTCGTAGGAGACCAAAATGGGATATGCAAAAATTAAAGAATTCCTGTGTGCCTGAATTTAAACTTGTACAAAACTGCAGAGGGTGATCACAGAGGGTGACCACAGAGGGTGACCGCTGCATAAGCCTGTGGCAGAGGGCTGCTCTGCTGACTTTATCGATACAGCTTAATGTCACCTGGATTACTAAAGTATGTCAACTTGGACTTAAACAGTTAATATAGCTATGCCAGGAAACAAATTAAAATGATTTTTAAATTACATTTGGTGTAATTCACATGGGCATATTGTGTGTATCGTGATGACAGATTTGAGCTGTAAATTGCTGTAATCTCCAGAAGTAAAATTAAGTGCCACATGTTTCATGGCTAATTTAATAAATTCAAAGAGAACTTCTGGAAAGGTACAAATGAAAGTGGTGTTTGGAGTTTCATTATTTAAAATGATTAACACTGGATTTGATATAGCATATGCAGAAAAATCTTTTTAGTTTTATCCACTGAGCTGGAATATTATCAAATTTTGTTGTTTTACTGCCCAACTTTGTCATGCATTAAGAATGTTTGTGTTCAGTCTGATAATGGGAGTGCTCACGCAGTATGGGCTTTTACAGCACAGTGATAATTCATGTGAGACTAGCCCACTCTTTTCCCCACCAACGGGCCATCAGTCAGCAGCAGGACTAGGATTTACAGTCCGTCTTACATCTGCCTGAGAGCTAGCAAACCTGAATTAATTTTTCAGTTTACACTTAATTTAAATTTAACATATACTACAGCAATATTTTTGGTGATCGACTCAAGCTTGACAACGCCTTTACCAAGCCGAACCTTCTGCAGCATAAAAATCGAAGACAGCTGGAACTGTGCTGTAACTTGTGTTATGTTCAATACATAAAAGAACCTGTTAAACCAAAACAAGGAGTTAGTAATAATCCAGGTCTAATACTAATTCCATTAACTAATCCCTTGTACTGAAAAGTGGTGCGGCTCAGCACTTTAGGGTACTGTGATCTGAAGGTCA